TTCAAAAGTATATTTTGCAGCAAAAAGATTTTATCCGGATGAAGTATCCGTATAAAAGATCAAAGTTTTCAGCTTTATGGCTTCCGCGGTTTCTAGGCATTTTAATAACGTTAATAACAATATATATTGATTTTATCGAGGCAACATTGTAATAAGATGCTTAAAAGTTTGTTGGTTGCAAAATAGAATTGCGCGGTTGCAAATATAACGCTTAATGTGGTGCAGTTGATGTAAGCCGACTTTGTGGCGAACAAATTTCAAGCCTTTCAATATCATTATATATTGCGGCTGAAGAGACGACCGCACAGAATTATCAAATAATATTCGAATGCGCGATGTAATTTCATTTTCGCCATCGTAACATCTCTTTAAATAAACTCAATTTTATTTTAGCGTCTCATATAGCAATATTTAATGCGCTGCATTTAATGTAATCTTTTCGAGGAATGCAAGAGCGACATCAAAAATCTTAAGATTAATGTTTAATTTGGAATAAGTTTATCGATTTTCCGTTCTTATCGTTTTAATTAAACTTATCTAGCAGTTCTTATCGGAGTATCGATTTACGTCTCAAGTAAAGTGACTGGCAAATTACATATCCACGAATAAACTCGATAATAACTAATGCAGAATTTTCAAAACTGATAAACGTCAATTGAAGCAGATAAGATCCATTGGCATGCTCTTGCTATTTTCGTTAAGATGAATTTTACTTTTTTGTACATAATATGTAGCGTCAATCACAAGAAAAATCTGTCAAATTTTTGATATTTTATGTTTCTATTTGAAGAGTGCTTAAATTGTTATCTTTCTGTATTAATCTCGCAGCCGTATATAGCGCTAAATATGCGATGAGAATAACGATTTCTTCTCACAGAGAGAGCGTGAACTCATTCTCTTGGAACGCGCGATCAATACGACATACGGAGACGTACAATGTCATCGTCCCGCACGGTCGGATATATATTTATCGACTCGCGTCAATTTTACAATCTAACGTGATTTACGAGGCGGATCCTCGCGACATTTTCAATGCCGGGCGAAAGCCGTCAGAGAGAAAATCGGTTAGGTGACGAATAACGTACATACCGCGACCGTGAAAAATGACCGGCGTTTGACAAAGCAGCTTCCCTTAAATCGCGTCACCGGCGTGATACACCATTATCTTGCATCTTCCGCTCCTGCACAACCACCCGTACCCTTATCTCTCTCTCTCT